CGCAGGGCGAGTCCCGGGGTTCTCAGCATCTCCCCAAAACCTCAACTGCCTCAGGAAAGTGCCCAGCCTGGACAGGGACAGGTGAGCTGCCGGGAGCAGCCTCTGCGCCGAGCAGAGACCCACAGCGCTGGGGCCTGGTCTCTGGGGGCCTTCAGTGGGAAGGGGACACGGAGCTTTCGGGGACGCAGCCCCTCCCACGTGTGTCAGCTATGGGCTGTGTGTGGCGGGGTGCCGTGCCGCTCCCCGACTGGACTCCTGTGGGGGCGCGTGTGATGGGAGTGGAAGGGCTTCCCTCCCAGGGAGGCTGAGTCTGCTTGTTCCCCACACCTCAGTCCCAGCGTCAGAAGCTACTTGGTCGTGGGGAGCTCTCCTCAGCAGGACGCGTCCCCAGGCCCACAGCGCCCTCCTGCGTGCAGCTCTTGTGTGGCGGGGCGTTGAGGCCTGGCTCCCCCGTCAGAGGGTACAGCTCAGGGGCACTGTCACCTCACGCCCGGGGCCTGGTCCCCACCCCACCACTGCCTCAGCAGGCCGCATGTTGCGTCCCCTTGGTGCCTTGGGTCTGGCCACTCTGGCTCCGAGTCCCTGACGCGCCGTGTGCGTGCCCACGGCTCTTCTCCGTGGCGGGGCAGCCTGGCTGGTGGCTGTGTGGCCTTTCCTGGTCCCTTTGCCTGCTGGTGGACACTGTATCCTCACCCCGGGGACGGTTGGACCTGGAGTCCCAGAGCCCCCCTCCCGTCTCCACCCCAGCCCCTGTCTACGCTGGGCAGGGAATGCGGGCCCCACGTGGCCCCACAGACACCCTGGGGAGTGGAGTCCACATGGGTGCCGCTGCCCTGCTGGGCCTCTTGAGCAAAGCCCTCCTTCCAGGCTATGCCTGCCCTGAAGGAGCTCCTGGGCTAGGAAGGGCCCGGTCCATTAGCAGCCCTCAGCCGTGTGCTCACCCTTGCTACACACGAGTTTGGGGGTGAAATCCGAGTGACAACGGGGGTGGGGGGGGCAGAACTGCCCAGGGGCACGCTCCCCGAGCACAGTCCTCGGGGGTGGGAGCCCCCGGGGTCGTCTGCAGCCTGAGTGGCTCCCAACAGTGGAGAAGGTCCGCACAGCCACCCTGGGCACAGGGGATGGTATCGAGCGTCCCCGACCCCTCAGGCAACCCCGCTCTTCTGCCTGGCTGGGGGGCTGGCCTGGGTGGGGTCTCAGAGCCGTGGTCTGCAGGCCAGCCTCACTGCTGGCGGCCACACGGCACCCTCTTCCCTGCAGCTGGAGGGCTTCTCACCTTCAGAGGCCGCACGTCCGTGGCCTGAGTGTGAGCTGTGCCGGCCTGGGCGCCCGCAGATGCGCAGGACCCGCCAGCCAGGGCTGTGCTGGGGAGCGGGCCACTGGGCCAGGCTTGCTTCCAGACCAAGCCTCTGACCCTCCCCTTCCTCTCCAGGCATCGGTGGGCTCTGAGAAGCTCTTTGCCCCAGCAGCTGAGAAGGGTAAGTGCGGCCTCGGCTCACGCCGACAGGGCAAGCAGGTCCCTATTGCCTGGCCACAGGACGTACTGGAAGTCTGAGCGAGGGGCTGCTGCAGACAGGACTTGGGCGGGGTCCATCGTGTGGTACCCAGGCAGAGCAGGCTCCATGCCGTACTGGCCCGAGTGCAGGAAGGAGCAGAGGAAGCCACTTGCTGGGACCCAGCAGTCCCTGGGAATGCACACCCTGGCATGCCACAGGGTCTGGCTTTGGGACGGCTACCGCCGCATCAGGCACCCAGGGTCACCTCATGGGACAGCGGAGGTCCCAAAGGTGCTCAGCTCAGGATGAGCCTTCGTAAGCCAGTCTGTCAGCTGGGGGATGGGCTGTGGGGCCCCCAGAGGAAGGGGGGCACCAGCCTCCTGTATGGGGTCCACGTGGTAGGCAGCGCACCTTGGCAGCGTGAGCAGGTGGGTGCCGTGGCTGGGCACCTTAGGGTGTCATGGGACAGGGCACTCCTGGTCAGGATGAGGGTCGCTCTTTGCAAGTGGCTGTGGTCTCCATGTCACCAGCTGCCACGCTTCCTCTGTGGACCAGCCGCTGTCATTGCATGCTTGGGCCCACGCTTCCCGGGAGGGCAGGCAGTTCCAAGGGGCTCTGGGCACACATGTGGGGTGTCGTCCAGGTGAGGTGGCCAAGCCCGTCCCATGCCACCCTTATCGCTACGCTCACTCTGCCAGGGCCTGCATGGAGGTGGGGGTGCAGGTGCAACCCAGAGGAGGGGCCGCCATCCCTTGAGGGGCAGGGGTAGCGGCAGTGCCCACCCCATCGGCTGCAGTGCCGATGTTAGAGGGCGGAGGGGCCAGGCGTTCCCTGAGGTCCCACTTTCCTGCTGGGCAGCTGCAGGGCCTGCTGGCAGGTGGGTCATGGGGGTTACCCATCACAGCTGTGCATCCACTCCTGCAGAGCTGGTACCCACAATCCTCAGCGTGACTTGGCTTTATTTTTATAGTTTTATTTTTGTCATGGGGCACATGTGCTGTTGGGGACAGAGAGAAAGCACCCCCGGGGGACAGCCATGCTGCAACCCCTGATCCTCCATCCTCAGGGTGTGGGCACGCACACATGCTAGCTTGTTTTTCAAACTGCCCAGTTGGGGCATAGTCAGCCATGTGAGATCCAGCTGCCATACCCTCCACGCCAACCGCTGGTGCAAGCTCATGCTGGCTTTATCTTGAATGGGGTCAGGACAGCCCAAACCCTGGGTTCCTGTGAAGCCAGACCTGTCCCTCAGAGATGGACACCCGGGCACCTGTCCACTCTCGCAGCCAGGGGGAGCTGCCAGGGGATCTGGGGGCTGGGAAGGCCCAGCTGGAGCCACGGCCCTCCCTCAGTGAGCAGATGCAGGCCGGGCCTGGCATGGGGTGAGGTCCGCCTCACACGCAGTGTGACCTGGTAAAGTCCACTTCTCGTGTCTCCCACAGGCCTGGGGGACAGCAGGGCCCCTCTGGGTGCAGCGTGAATACAGGGTTCATGGGGCCCCACCCAGCCCAGCAGCTGCCCACAGACACAGCCCTCCCTCCACAGGGCCCGTGCTGGGCGAGGCCAAGGCGGTGCCCAAAGTGTCCGGCCTCGAGCGCAGCCGTGAGCTCAGCACCGACTGCTTCCCGCCCGCTGCGCCCAGCCCAGCAGCCACCGTGCCCCTGCCCGCCCAGGCCAGCCCCGTGGTGAAGAAGGAGGTCCCCGCCCTGCCCCGCCACACTCCGCAGCCACCGCCTGCACCCCCGCAGCCCCAGGGCCTGCTCCCAACTCACGTGCCTCTGTCTCTGGGCGGCTTCACGGGCCCCGGCCAGGCAGCACCCAACGGCCTGCCCGGCCTCAGGTGGGGTGGGGAAGGGGGAGTTGCTGGTGTCCAGACCCCGGGCACCAGGGGTTGGGGGAGGGGGCTGCACGAGTGGAGAGGGGTGAGGTCAGGACACTCGAGTGGGGACAGGGATGCGCGGGCCACACTGAGCCGCATGTCCGGCCCGCCCAGGAGCAGCAGCGCGGGCAGCGGTGCCCCCCTCGGCCTGGCGAAGCACGCGTCGCTGTCGCCACGTGGGCCGGGCCCTCTCCTGTCTACCTCACACCTGGCGCTCCGGTCCCAGGCGCAGCACCAGCAGCACGCGGCCATGTTCGCCGCCCCTCCGACACTGCCCCCGCCCCCTGCGCTGCCCGCCAGCAGCCTGGTCATCCCAGGACACCCCGCCGGTAGGTGTCAGCTGGAGGCTGGCTAGGGTCAGGGGTGGGAGATGGGGGCCTTGGGGACCCTCGGCACCCCTCCAGGTGGCCTCTGCAGCCCAGCCAGGTGGGCCTGTTGGGCTGGGGTCAAGGCAGGCGGGAGCACCCCAAGGCTGCTGGAAGGCGCCTTCCTGGGTGGTGCCTGCAGGGTCTGCATCCCTTCTCCCAGCTGGCGGGGACACATCTGGCGGCTGCACTTGGCCCCACCCGGCCCCGGCCCTCTGGCTGGGGCGGACC